GCTCAATACTGAGATTATAATTATGACACTTTCTTTTCGAAGTGATGAATTGATCTGTTTTCTGCAGTGAAAAACACATTCATCTCAATTGTGCTTCAGTGTGACCTTCTCTTGACCTCAATGCTATTTGCCAAATAAGAATTTCTGGGACATCTGTTTTTTTTTTTGAAATGAAGTGATTGCACATTTATAAATTAATATTGACATTATTAAAATTTGAATTTTCAAAATATAATGACCACTGAGGTGTATCACATCAGATGATATGCTATTTATTCTTACTGGAATGTAATCAGTATTTTTTAAGGGTGTTCACTTAGTTTCAACTTAATTAGTTTGGCGGTAAAACAGTGCATTCTATTCTATCTTCACCTTGATTTGATTTAGTGGATTTGACTTACTATTTTATAGGTTAAAATAGTGAAATTGAAAGCAAGTGAGTAATTATATTAGTAATTTTAACTTTTTGAACTGCATAATTTCTATGAAACATTTGTATTTATATTTTTAGCTCCGCTGTTGACTTTGACAAGCGGAGCTTATGATTAGTGATTGTCCGTCGTCGTCCGTGTCAATGTTTTACTTTTTCAATTTCTTCTTGAAAACTACATATTTAGTATATATGTACCTTGGTCAGACCTCTCTTAGGTTTGTTCATTTCATGATGATATCTTCATTTCTCTAATTTTGGTGAATATTTTTGTCATTTTTGGTAAATAAAGTGATATTTTCGATTTCTTGTTAAAAACCGCAAGTCCAATTGCTTTGATACTACATATATAGGTACTACATGTGGACCTCTCTCAGATTTGTTCATTTTGTAATGATATCTTCAATTCTCTAATTTTGGTGAATATTTTTGTAATTTTTAGTAAAAAGTGATATTTTCGACTTCTTTTTAAAAAACGCAAGTCCAATTGCTTTGATATTACATATATAGGTACTACATGTGAACCTATCTCAGATTTGTTTATTTTGTAATGATATCATTAATTCTCTGATTTTGGTGAATATTTTTGTCATTTTTGGTAAAAAGTGATATTTTCGACTTTTTGGTAAAAACTGCAAGTCCAATTGCTTTGATATTACATATACATTGTATAGGTACTACTGTGGTCCTCTCTCAGATTTGTTCATTTCATGATGATATCTTCAATTCTCTAATTTTTATGAATATTTTTGTCATTTTTGGTAAAAACTGATATTTTCGACTTCTTGTAATAAACCGCAAGTCCAATTGCTTTTATATTACATGTATAGGTACTACATGTGGACCTCTTTCAGATTTGTTCATTTTATGATGATATCTTCAATTATCTAATTTTGATGATTATTTTTGTCATTTTTGGTAAAAACTGATATTTTTGAATTCTTGTTGAAAACAGCATGTCCCATTGCTCTGATACTATACATATTGTTCATTTTCTAATGATATCTTTATTTGAAATGTGCATTGCTAACAGCGGAGCTATCTCAGACGATAGGCTGCTTGTATTAATTTTGCCTAAATAAGGAAGAATTGTTTATTGGCTTTAATTGCTATTCAAAAAATGTTGATTTTGTGAATGTGAATGAAGTTAAATTTGACACTGAATTGGTTAATAAGCCATCATAAAACTGGGATTCCATACTGGCCTTTGTCTGTCAGTTTTATTTGTTCATTAACACTGATGTCTCCACCATGGATTGGCAGATTTGGTTCTAAATAGGCACCAAACTAGTACATTATAAGGCATACATGTATATGCATGTTGTTTTATTTCTCGATTTGATTCAACATGGCTAGCCTGTGCTAAGATTAGCGACATGCTTGCTAATGAAATAAGTTGGTGTCTAATGTTTTGTGCAAATTATTAGCCTAATTTATTTT